TAATAATGTAGATTGTCCAGAAATTTTAAGTCTAATTTTCTTTAATGTTCCTAATTTTCATCTCCGATCTAATAATTTATTTTATGTTAACTCATATCGTCAGAATTATAGTTATTATTCACCGGTCAATAGAATGCTACATTTTTGCAATTTAATTAAAAATTTTGATTTCTTTAATGACCATTTAACCAAGTTAAAATCTCTTTGTAGCGATGTATTTTAATTATTAATTTTGTATGTTAATAATTTAAACTTCTATGTATGCTGTACTTATTTAATTATTTGGATATTTTGTATTTATATTCTGTACTCATTGCCGTCTGTGGCGTACTCAATATTTATTTGTTTTTTTTTCTGTTTGATTATATTGTGTCTTGTATATTACAAAAATAAATAAATATAAATAAATAAATATTCTAAAAATGCGTCAGGTCGACAACCGGCGTAAAATTTTTGTCAAAAAGTATGAGTAGTCCTAAACAAAACTTAGGCGAATTGTCCCATTTCAGATGTACGTGGGGACAACAGGTGAGAGGAAATAAAATAGTTGAAAAGGAGAAGGCCTAAGGAATAAAGTGTTTAATACCAGCCGAACGACTTGTGAGGAAGCTGTTTTACCTGTCATGTGTACAGGTCTACCCAACGCTTGAAGTGTCAATGGCGTAGGGACATCACCACTTAATTCTAGGCTGGACTCGTGTATAAGGGTAGATACATACAATGTAATATAGGTACTTGGAATGTTGGAACATTAACTGGTAGAAGTAGAGAATTAGTAGAAGTATTGAAGAGGAGAAAAGTTAACATTTGTTGTGTGCAGAAAACTAAATGGAAAGGAGAGAAATCGAGGTTATAAGATAATATACTCAGGTAAGTCTAGTACAAAGAATACTGTAGGGGTAATAATGGATGAGGAGATGAAAAGTAAAGTAGTAGAAGTAGCTAGGAAAAGTGACAGAATTATAGCCGTAAAATTCATATTAGAGGAAAAAGTGCTGAATGTAATATGCAGTTATAAATTAAATTTATACGATAATATATAATATTTCATAGTAAGAGTACAGAAATATACTACGTTTCACAATTGTTTAAGCATTTAACTATTAGTTTTTAGATGCTCCTGAAAAATCGATAAATCAGTTATGTGTTGTAGCCAAATAAGTGACCATATATCATTTAAATACGATTTGGTAAACGGCCTTAGAAGATAAAATCAGCTTTTCTATAGATACTATAGATATGTATATTTTTACTATTGTTATACACTCACTGCCGTCATATCTAATTGACTAACGTTACGACAGTGAATTATACACAAATTACAATATTTTCGAAACTACAAAATTTTGAATGTATTCTGACGTATACTATGACTATTTTATGCACACGTTTAAATATTTTCGAACAATAATTTTTACCAATCGGACTACGGTACAATTGTCCTGGTTAGGTCTAAGATTTTTATGAGTAGTGAAATTCTACTCAAATTAAATAAAACACAATACACACATTATTTGGTGCAGTTTCCCGTCTGACCGTACGGTATAATTTATAATATTCGTAAAATTTATTTAATTACGCATATGTAGCATACCGACCAAAAAAATCTTATTCAAAGATACTTTTTAATTGAAGTGGATAATAATCAAAAACAACCGATATTGTTATATGTATATTATAACCCATAAAAACAGCGCTTTTGTAGACAACATCTAAAACTTTTTTAAAACATTAATAAGTACGAAGTTCCTCAACCTTTTTCTCTAAGGACGTTTTATAGAAAAAATGTAAAATTATCTAAGTGCCATAATTATTTTAACTCTGATAAATTTTCTAAGTGTTGCCTAATGATATTTATGTTCAACTAAAAACTATGTTATATTTTTACATGAATGAAAAAATTATTTAAATCGAAGTTAATAATTTCGTGAATTTTTTTAGTATGGTCTTCTGTTTCCATCTCAAACTTTTCATTTATCTGTTAAATAAAATAAGTGTTAATATAATTTTTTCAATTACAATTACTTTTTAGTTTTATTTTAGGTTATTTGATGTAAATTATTTGTCTCTAATAAAGAAAAACTAAAAAATACTTTTTTTTAGTTTTTATAAGGTAAAAAAAAGCTATTTTTATAACAAAATATTTTAATAATTATATTATATAAAAAGATAAACTTATGCCTTCAAATAAATGGTCTAACAAATCTGGAATGAATGTTTTCCCTGTTTCCGAATTAATTTCGAAACCTAGTTTAGTAAAATATTTTTCCATCATTGTATTGATTTCTCTTAATACAAAGTTCCTTCCAAAATTATAAAATTCTGTCATAAAAAAAAAAGAGGAAGAGAGAGATGAAGGAATTAAATAATCGAATAAATGTGATATTTATATTTTTTTCATAAAAAAAGATGAAGGAATAATAATAGAATATAATAGTAGATGTTATGGTTAACGGATTGTTGAAGTACGTTTAGCTACAAGGTTAAAATAAAGCATACGGTATATAATCATGAATTCTTTGTTAAGATTCTACTACCACACATGGTTTGTTGTAAAATGTAAATTGAAGGAAAATCACATTCGGATGATGCACACCTGAGTAATATTAATTCTACAATGAAATGTGCAATGATTATAATCATTAATCCATAATTATGGATGAAGATTTTACAACTCTTAATATTTATTGGTCATATGAATGGGAAACAGTGTGTGTTCACGTAAAATGCTACTGTCTAATTGTTGGGCGCCAAGCCCTAATGGCTGAATTATTTTCTTTATATAGATGTATAATACAAGTTAAAACATTTACGTTGAACACGTACTATTACGATCAGAATGGTGAGAAAGTAGTTATTAATAATATCCATCTTTTTAAATTAACCACCTTTAGCAATTCTATTATTCCCTCGATAAAAGTTATTCTTGATTTATCTTAAGTCTATCTTTAATTTTTATGACATACTTAGAAATATAATCTCATACTTTGTGTCCATCTAGCTTGATCGTTTGTTGTAAAAAAAAATATAATAAGAACACTGACTTTAATCTACTTATTTATTTTATAATTTTATAAGAATTGATAAACTCGAAATATTACTTCACTTAAATTCATTTCTACACTTGGTATCAGAACATAAATGTTCTTTTATATTTTTAAATAAAAATTTATAGAACCAGATAGATTATGAGAACCAATCCTTAGTGACACGTCACAAACTATTATTTTACCAATAATTTCAACCGCTAGATGTGCTAAGGAAGATTTTCGAAATGCACTTATTAAATAGACACTTAAATTGAAGAATTAAAAAATTCTTAATTGGAACAACTCACAAAACACAAAATAAAAAAAAATTAATTGTCTTAATAATTTATAAATATTTAAAACTAAAAATAAAAAGATAAAAAGGATAAGTTATTTTTTTTAGAATTACATTACTTATGTGAGATTTAGATAATAAACACCAAGTGTAAAAAAAGATTCTAAGTCACAGAGAGCACAATCCCGAAACATTTTGGTGCAAAGATGCTTCATGACCAAATTTTTAGAAAAAATAAGGTGTCGAATGAACTAGAAATTGCTCTTTTATAGGCCTGTTTTATGAGGGGGAGAATTAATGTTTTATATTTAAATTGAAAAATGTTTCTTATTGGTTAGTCAATTAATTTAAAGAGACCTATGCGCAATCTATTGTTCTACTAATTTGAGTTAATGTTTCATACATGTATTGGTGTTTTATATCTATCATCTCCCATTATAATGTGGTTTATTAAAAAAAAATCATCATTATAAAAATATAAATAAAATAAAATTATAAGTGCTAAATATCTATTACACAAGCATTGACATATGCAGTAGGGGTGCTGGGTTATTTTATTATTCTGAAGCGTGGTGTAACGCAATGGATCATTCAGTCACCTCCTTATTGTTATGAGTGACAAATAAGAGATATTTAAGCCCTTAGCCATAGTAAGGTTGTAAAAATTCTACTGAATCATTTTAAGGTAAAACCAAAACCGATAGTTAGGATGGACGCTAAGAAGATGAGAATGATAGCTAGATATGTGCTTTTTACTTTTTTTCTACCCAGAGGGAGAATTCAATAGTTTGAAATTAAGTTTTTAAAATATTCTTGAAATACTCCGAGCTTTATTTTTATGGCTGTAACTACTTTTTCTCAACCATACGTTCAAGTACTCTTTAAGTGATTTTCAGTTTATTGTATTTTAAGATAAGATGCATAGCTTACAAAGAACAATTTAACACGTAAATACATATATAATAACTAGTGTACAACAGTGTAAATTTTATGACAGTAATGATAGTGATGAATAAATTATTTTAAAATATTTATTCACGCGTAAAGTAAAAGCATAAAATAATATAAATAAATATATTTTCTTACAGTATGTTTTTATATGTATGGTATAGAAATATATACAAATCTTCAATTTATTAAATAAAATTAATTTTATGATTACTTATTTACATACAACCACTCCAATTGATATTTTAACTTAGACAATTAGTAGTTTTATTATGAAGATTTCATTAGATTCTAAGAGCGACTGTCTCAATATCAGAAATTATTTCTCTAAATGTAATGTTTTATAGAGAATAATTTCTTTAAGAGATCCACTAAATAATTAAGGTTTACAATAAGACCGACATTTTCCTAATACAAAAATATTTATTCAAAAATAAATTATTGAACATATCTTAATAATGATTGTATAGCTAGTTAAAAATAACTTAAAACAATAATTCTTAAATAATTTAACATAAATTTATTCTTTTGCATATATGACTAAATTTTAAAATAAAAAGTTTGATTTACATAAATCTGAATTCATTTCAAAAATACTTGAACAGTTATTATAATTTAAAGCACACCTTTACAAATATCCCATAAAATTAAAATTAAATTTAACACACACAATATATATATAAATATTAGTTAGCTTAATAAGTTATTAAAAAGTTTATATTCTAATTTTTTAATTGAATTAAAAATCAAAAATGATCATAAAAATATATTATTTAAATTTTTTTCTATTTACGATAATTAAATGTAATACGATTAACTACAAAGATACGTATGAAAGCAATTATATGGAATATTTATTCGAAATAGTAGATTTTGTTCGATTTCAAGACGAAAACACTTCAATACAACACTTAACAAACGATTTAAAGATCAATTCGAATTACATTTTAGACTTAGGTCTAAAATTAAACAGCAAAAATTTTCCTATAATATTTAATGCAATTATTGAATTACTTAAATATAGGTATGGAATCGTTATAGAAACTTTTTATAATAATACTGTTTTAATACTCCAATGCTGTGATAGCTATTATTCTAAAAAACGATTTGAACATTTTGTTGATTGCTATATTATCCTTAATGACACAATTGTAAGTTCGAAGAATCTATTTGAAAATCTTAACAATGTCATGGAATTCTTTAGTAGTTTAAATATAAGTTATAAAATTAAACATTATGATATAACAGCCAACGTTATGGATAATCTTTCAACTATTGTTAAATACATTAATTCAAAAAGAGAATTGGATATACACGATTACATTGATCATAACGCAAATCCTCTAACTGAGAAAGCCTATAATGGTTTTGTAAGTGTTAACCAATTTTATAAAGAATTATCATTAAAAATTTCAAAGATTTCTACGAAAAACAATCTGGATAATACTTGGCAAGATAAACTAGAGAAAGATGATTCGATAGAAAATAAAATTTATTCAATTTCACAAGAGGATTATATCCAGAACATATGTAATAAGCTTAAGGTATTTTATAATGAAGCTTTACAACTTGAATACATCAATCTTGGTTTTCACAACTTACTACATCCCACAACACCAGGGTAAAGTTTATTTGAATTATTAAATCATAATTCATAAATATATATTATTTTAGCCAAATAAAACTGTTAGTTAAAATTAATTTTTTCAGTAAATAAATAATTTTTTTGATTCTACGAGTGAAAGTCCTAAATAGCTGGAGTTGTCGAAAATGATCAAACACCTTTTTGGTGGTAGTTTGCAGTATAATGATCTTTTGCATGCTACAAAGTTATCAGACCTCTCATTTTAAATCTCTTATTTATAGAGATTGATATATTAATACTTATACATCAGTTGATGATAAATTTTTAGTTTTTCAAATAATTCATAATCTATATTACTGTATTTAACATTTTATATTTTTGAAGGTTAGTATAGATAATATTTTATGTAAATACCTACTTAAATTGGTTACTGTTAACATTTTTTCTGATCTTGTTTCTGTCATGGCACAACATTTAAAATTTAAAAACACTATTTTGAATTTATTTTCGTTATAAATTAAAATTTTGATTCTGACTTTGTGATGTTTTGTATGATATTCATTCCTAGTTGATTTTTATAGAAATAACAAAAAATATAGGTAAATTCTAAACTATTCCTTTATTGAAATAATTTTTTTTACCAAGAAAGTATGTTTACTTATTACGAATATACAGGTATAATACACAAGGGATTACAAATATAGGTAGCTAATTGGTTTTTTATAACATCGATATTAGCAGGTACGCAGCATTGTTATTATCAATTGTAGTAAGGCACATTGTTATGAGTTTAGAAATACACTAACTGACAATACAGAAAGTATATCTATTGATAATCATAATTGATAATAAACAATCCGTGACTGAGACAGCAATGTCATAAAAATCCAATTAACTACCTGTATTTACAATCCCATGTGTATTATACATGTATATTAACTCAAAATTTTGAAACTTTAAATGTTTATATCTAATAAGCTAATAAAGTTATATTAAAAATTCAAATGCCATTTACTATTAAATTAAAAACTCAAACATTTTATTAAATTAAAAATATGTGTTACCGTTTAAAAAAACAAAATTGACATCCTTACAAGGCATAAGGCATAAGGGATGAAATTAAAAAGTATTACATAGTTAATAATTCAAGAATAATGTGTAACTAAAGATAATAAAAAAAAAAAAATTTTAAATTATTATTATTTTGCAAGTAATTGAGTGGGTTATGATAAAAAAATCACCCTGTATATATGTATAAATATACAATAGTACTTCATAATCTGTGATTATCATTCGTAACAGCATTCGTTAATCATCACATAATACTGTTAGATAAGTTTTTCTATGTGATCTTTACTTTTATATAGAATCTTTAAATTTTTGATAATATCAATATCTGATAGATAATTTTATTTTACGAGGTTTTAACTCCGTTTTTCATATTACGTCACTGAGCATTCTTGCCAAATATACTATGTGATATAATACATTTAGCATTTGTTTTTTAACATAAAAAATTATTTGTTCAAAAAAAAATATATAATAATTATATATTTTTTTATTTAATTATTAAATCATTCACTTTTAATATTTATTTTATAAGTAAAAACAAATATATTTAATTCATTAAAAAATACACCGAAAAAAATATATTAACATCATATATTCGGTATACTCAAATAATTATACCACTCGTAGTACTTAATTCTGTCGCCACTTATTACTTATTTACTTTACTAATAAAATTATTAGTTTTGATGCGTAACTGAGAAGCTATTGGTTTTATTTTACTTTTTTTTTCCATGTACGCCATTAAATATTCTCTTATTGGACCGATTTTGGTCATCCATATATTCTTTTCAATTTTTCATGCTTAAAAAAACCTACCTTCCTCAAACCTACAATAAATTAAAGATAATACAATGTATCGAAGGATAAAAAAAGAGAAACTATACGATTTGTCAATTTTTAGAAGATATTTTATCGATTTTGCAATTGATCAGGCCGTATAACAAATCGTAGTCATAACGTCGCTCATGACACCGAGTCACTCCTATTTTGTTAGCGTGACGGTTAACCCGACAGAATACAGCCACGCTAATCACTACCATTATTGATAACGATGTCGGTAACGTTACCAGTCAGTAATGCACCTGATACTCTTACAATATATCATCCGTAATTTTTAAGGCTAGATCACTTAAGGCATCTGGGTACCGACCGCTTTTTAGTCAAAAACAACTCGTTTTTGTTCCATCAGTACGACGAAACTACTGATGCGATAAGAATTCTGAAAACATATCTGAATTCAGTATCATGTCACTTAGGTATCGGTCAGGCCATATTTTTGAAATTTTGATGTTTTTAACCCTTTATTACAGTTTTCATTTTCTAATAATTTTTAAATTTTCAAAATAATTTTTTACGTTGAAGGAATCACAATTTCAAAAAAGTGGCCTGACCGATACCTAAGTGACATGATACTGAATTCAAATTTGTTTTCAGAATTCTTATCGCATCAGTAGTTTTGTCGTACTGATGGAACTAAAACGGGTTGTTTTGTACGCTCAAACTAATGGTTTTCAAACAGTAGCTGTTATATCTGACATGCTCGTGCGCGTATGTGCGTTATCCGCAGCAGCTATTTTATTGCCCATAGGTTGCATAGGGCAATACCGACTGCCTAAAAATAGTTACAATGCATACTTGATATTATACCTGTATATATGATATTAGATTATTTGCTTTTATCTTATTTGCAAAGCTGTCATTACATAGTAAAAATATTTGGTGAGGTACGAATATATATAAATAATTTTCATACACTTTCTTAGTTTCGATAGAAAACTGAGAAGGTATTAGTTTTACTATGATGTATTTTTTGCTTGTGTATCCATTTCTGTACCTACTGGACATTTATTGTTCAACGATACGCCAAAAGATCAAAAAATATATCTTGTTGATGTATTCAGCATTATATTTTAATAATTTCTCTTTAAATCTGACACAATAACGTGTTTTTCTCAGTCGCACACTATGTTATCAAACTAGATCTAACACTAAGTAACTGATGTTATGAGCTTTTTATTTCAACACATTTGAAATATACACATACATAAAGTGCTTAATCATCGAATATATAAATCTCTTACATTAATTATAAAATGAATTTTAAACTACATACAATAAAAAAAGTAAATCATTTTTTTAAAAAAAGGTGGTCAGAATTGAGTGATAATGAGATATAACCTATATTTAATATAATACGAAGTGCTTAGAATTCATGAAGTATAAGTGACATTTCAAAAAAAAATAATTATTTAGGTACACCATCAGACTGAAAATTAATAGTTTTCAATTTTTATTAATAGAAAAAATTTGTAAATAAAAACACATTATTGTAAAATCAAGATACCACTTCAGCTACACATGAAAATTAAAAAACCCAGCACAGGGGGGTCGCGGCACAGTGGTGACATGGCATAGTTGGATCAAGTAAATGATATCTGACAGTGATTAAAATCACTATCAAAAATAAACACTTCGATGCAAATCTTTAGATAGTGTTTAATTTTAAAAAAATTGGTGTTTTATTCCAAAAGCTACTTGATCTGCTGGTTCCTTATTAATATCCTGATTAAGATAAAGTATGTCGAATGAAAAAGGGTTTATTAAAAAATATTATTTTTCATAAAAAAATTGTGTGGATCCATAAACTTTGCAACNCTTCTCATGAAAAAATTGTATTGATCCATACATTTTTTAAAAAGTTATAGCACTTTAAAGTAAAAAATGTAAATAATAAAATCGAGAATTTTCACACGAAAAAAGCATTCGGTAGCCATTTTCGCCGTGAAGACAAGTCCAGAGGTCAAATTTTTTTTTTTCAAATTAAAGTATATTACATTAGCTTTAATTTAAGATATATATAAAAGTGTCAGACCTTCCGGAACACTTTCAAAAGTTAAGTTGAAAAAGTTCTACTTTCTATATGCATTTTTTATATTTGAAGCCCCCCCATATATAGGGAAATAGTCTGATTTAAAAAAAAAGTATATCCAATGAAAGATGTATATAAATACTACTTCTCATGAAAAAATTGTATTGATCCATACATTTTTTAAAAAGTTATAGCACTTTAAAGTAAAAAATGTAAATTATAAAATCGAAAATTTTCACACAAAAATAGCATTCGGTAGCCGTTTTCACCATGAAGACAAGTCCAGAGGTCAATTTTTTTTTTTTCAAATTAAAGTACATTACATTAGCTTTAATTTAAGATATATATAAAAGTGTCAGACCTTCCGGAACATTTTCAAAAGTTAAGTTGAAAAAGTTAATTTTTTGTGAAAAAGTTGTCATTTTAAATCCCCCCCTGTGGGCAGGTTATGTGTCAGATTTACAAAAAAATATACCAAATGATAGGTAAAGACATCAAGCATCCTATAAAAAAAAA